CAAGAATTTCCATATTTTGAAAAACGACCCTGAAACATCTTCCATTTTCTCCGATAACCCCTTAGTCTCTTTTCGACACAGCAGAAATATCTGTGAAACCCTTGCCCATAGCTCCCTAGCACAGGATTCAACGTCACAGAAAGGCACTTTTCCTTGCCTGTCGTCGAAATGTAAAACCTGTGATTTTATAGATTCCACCACCACTGTTTCGGCACCTACAGTAAATCTGATTTTCACATCAAGCACCATTTCATGTGTGCCTCCTCCCATCTCATCTACTGCATCTCTTGCAGCAGATGTGGCATGCTTTACATTGGGGAAACTGGAAGATGTTTAAGGACAAGGTTTAGTGAGCATCGGCATGCAGTTATTGGCAATGATGCTAACCAACCTGTTGCCAGATATTTTAATGATGGCAATCACAGTGTTTCAGATATGTTAATTCGAGCCCTCTGTCCCATTTCTGGAAGCAATGATAGCCGCAAACAACATGAAATGCGCCTCATATCCAAACTTGGCACTGTTCACCTTTCTGGCATTAATGAACGCTTTTCTTATGCTTAATGCCATCATAGACAATCCAGAAGACACGTCTTCTGGTTTGTCTATGATGCCATCTGTCCTTGCCTGTCTATAGCAACAATGACAACATCTATTTATTACTTTTACTTTTACCTTATTCCCACTCATGTTTTGTTTTGATTATTTTTTGTAGTAATTGTCTTAACTCCCTGTTTATTTTTATATTTTTAATTATATTATATTCTGTAATGTGATTTACATATTTTGTTTACACTTTGTTATTATTAAGTCCATCTGATTGGTTTATTTTATTTTTTTGTCACATGATGCTTTCATACTCTTAGTATAAAAGCCCGTGCATTTTCCCCGATCCCTGCTACTAACTCTTGACGAAGGGCCTTCGCTGGAAACGTCGAATTTCTGCTTATTTTTTAAGGTAGTAATATAACCACTCAGCACAGCATTTTCACATTGGTACTACCAGGGATAATAAATGGATAAGAAACTAGCTGATGTGACCTGATGTTTTCAATGGGCTGATGGCGTGATTAGATGTTGAAACCTAGTTGCAAACCAAATTCTCAAAAACGGCATGTTTAGCAATAATACAGCTAAACATTTTAGTCAAAGAGCAAATGAAAATAACTACGCCATTCTACGATGAAATCTCTAAGTATTCCCAGTCAATTTTAGCAAATATTTTAAGCACTAAACAGTGAAAAAGACATCCCAAATTTCGTTAAAATTGGGGACACCAATTTCGTAGCTACAAATGTAAAAAAATACAAAACAAAGACGAAAAACATTTACCTTGAATACTTTGTCATGGCTTAGGCATGTTTTTAAAACAATTAGATCAGTATATGCTTCAATATTACTCTTTTTTGCTTACGTCAGCTAGAGTCCTATCCATTTATTTTATTATCCATGGTACACCTAGTTGCAATCTGTGATGTCACACGTATTGCAAAGTTCTCGGCATTTTTGTTGTTTCGCTATACTTTCCGCTTTAAAAGAGTAATATTGAAGCATATACTGGTCTAACTGTTTTAAAAACATGCCTAAGCCATGACAAAGTATTCAAGGTAAATGTTTTTCGTCGTTGTTTTGTATTTTTTTACATTTGTAGCTACGAAATTGGCGTCCCCAATTTTAACGAAATTTGGGATGCCGTTTTCACTGTTTAGTACTTGAAATATTTGCTAAGATTGACTGGGAATACTTAGAGATTTCATCGTAGAATGGTGTAGTTATATTCATTTGCTCTTTGACTAAAATGTTTAGCTGTATTATTGCTAAACATGCCGTTTTTGAGAATTTGGTTTGCAACTAGGTTTCAACATCCAATCACGCCATCAGCCCATTGAAAACATTAGATCACGTCAGCTAGTTTCCTATCCATTTATTTTATTATCCATGATATAACTACCAACCTCGTACCCAGGGTGTTTCCTTTTGGCGAGGGGAGAAAAGACGTACCCTGGTCACGTGATCTGCTAAAATCTAGCAGATTTTTAATTAGCAATCCAAGATGAGGTCAATAAATATTTGATATTTGGATGACTTTTATTAGTTTAATTTATAAGTTGCATTTTGTATCATTGTCGTAAAGGAATCCAAGATCATCAGTTAATAGACAATTCCCATTATAGACTAATTTTAAAACTAGGCAAGGAGATGCAAATAAATCAGCACAGCTAGAAAGAGCATACTAAAATTAGTAAAATTGCAAAGGTTGGTTGCGAAATCTTGTAAAATGCCGAAAACTGTATAGCCTTGCAAAATTTGCAAATTTTGTATACTTTTGTATTGCGTGCGGAAATTCCTACCATAGCTATTTCCGCACGCAATACAAAAGTATACAAAATTTGCAAACTTTGCAAGGCTATATTTTCCGCATTTTACAAGATTTCGCAACCAAACTTTACAATTTTACTCATTTTAGTATGCTCTTTCTAGCTGTGGTGATTTATTTGCATCTTCTTGCATATAGTTTTAAAATTAGTCTATAATAGGAATTGTCTATTAGAAATCTGCTAGATTTTGGCACATCACGTGACCAGCGTCTGGGTACGAGGACATATACCGTTGAAGATTACACAACTAAATATGAAATAATATTGTGATTTCTTTCTCTTATACAATACTAACAATCTTAAAACCTTCATTGTCTAGACTGAGACACCTACGGTGTGAAGGAGATACAATCTTCTGAAAAATATGAACAGAACGTCGTTCGTCAGGAGGTTAGTAGCGTGGATCTGGAAATATTGCTTATATTTCCCCAGATATAGAGTATATTACACTGCGGCGCGAAGATATGACTTTTATCTTTGAGTGGTGAAAACAATATTTTACGAACGAGCGCAGCGAGTGAGTAAAATATTGTTTTTAACACGAGAAGATAAAAGTCATGTATTGAAGCCACCGTGTAATGTTCTGTTTATTATATAGTCCCAAGCGAAGGTTGTGAAATTTCACGCTCAAAAGCAAATTGGAAAAGTCACGTGATCGATATCTTCACTAGTGAAGATATGGAAAATATCTCACTGTGTATTTTCAGTATCTCACTCTCTACTATATAATAAAGTTGTATATCCTTCATACCGCTGCGCTGTTTGTTGTCGCCTCTACCTACACTACACGGCTAAAAACGATCAGGTTGTTGCAATATTGATGTAAACAGGATTGAACAATGTTGTGCTGCCCACATTGTTCACAGTTGTAAACAATGTTGAACAATATTGTTACACCCGATTCAGGCTCAACAATATTGTTCAATATTGTTGACAAATGTGAACAATGTGGGCCGCACAACATTGTTCAATCCTGGTTAAACAGCAGGCTCATAATTTGTACGCGTGTACACTAGTACCGACCGAGATTGTGTAGAACATCCACTTAGGGAGCGTTCATACATAATCTAGAGGGGGGCTATGATGATTTTGAGGGGGGTCACGATTTTTCACCATTGCAATTTATGGGGGGGGGGGAGAGGGAGGCTTTCAAAAATTGCCTGAAAGTGATTCTGTGTCAGTGACCAGTCTCTTATAAATTGATTCCAATCATAACCTTAATCTCAACCCAGTAGCTTACTTTAGAATGCATACTACTTACACCGCACTTTGCCTGAAACACAGAAATACCGAACTTGCATTGAAGGGATTTTGTAGCGTCCTACGAGAAGTAGACGAAGAAGGCTTAGCGACCGAGTTTTCTGACTGTCCCGAAGAAGCCAAGTATAAACTCGCGCATGCGTCATTTACACAAGGAGAACTTTTAAAGAAAAGAGAGCAAAATGGTGAAGCATTGAAGTTCTATTCAATAGCCGTGACTACTTCGTGTTGTCGAGACGCAGGAATTTTGCGCGCGCGAGGGAAATGTTTGGAGAACCTCTAGGAATACACACACGCAATTCGGGATTTAAGCGCGGCCTTGCGCTACCAAATCCACTAATTAGTAATTTTTGCGCACGCGCAGTTGCCTACATGATGGATGAAGACGATGAGAAGGCATGCTGGGATTATAATTATGTGTCTTGTGACAATGAGCACCGGAGTTCGAGCTTTTGAAAAGGTAGTTCTGGCATTTGAAAACTGAGTTTTGGCATTTAAAAAGGGAGTTCTGGCATTTGAAAACTGAGTTTTGGCATTTGAAAAGGGAGTTCTGGCATTTGGAAACTGAGTTTTGGCATTTGGAAACAGAGTTTTGGCATTTGAAAAGGGAGTTCTGGCATTTGGAAACTGAGTTTTGGCATTTGAAAACGGTGTTCTGGCATTTGAAAACTAAGTTCTGGCTTTTGAAACTGGCATTTGAAAACTGCGTTTTGGCATTGAAAAGGGAGTTCTGGCTTTTGAAAAAGGAGTTCTAGCATTCGAAAAGACTTGCTTCAAGTCAATCCATGCAAAACCTCTCTTTTTACAAACTCTTTTTTTAACCGAATTGTCTTTCTTTGGAACAATCTCTTTCCGATCATTCGTAACAGTTCGTCTGTTTCATCCTTTAAGCTCCAGCTCCATTCTCACTACTCTTCTCAATTAGACTCTTCTTTCGATGTTAACAGAGTGCACACTTGGAAAACCTACTGCTCTAAATGCCGCTCTTTCAACTTAAGCTGTTGCTCATAATCTAAACTATTAATTTTTATATAGTTATGTATAAATAGTGTTCTAGTCCTTGTCTTTAATGTATGTCTACTTATTGTTTTGTATCAGGTCGGTCTTTACATGGGACTCATGTCCTATTGACCATACCTTCAATCATTGGTATCATTTTTGTGTGATTGTAATGTTAATAAATAAAAGGGAGTTCTGGCATTTTAAAACGGAGTTTTGGCTGGCATTTGAAAACAGAGTTTTAGCGTTCGAAAACGGAGTTCTGGCTTTTCAAAAAGGAGTTCTTGATTTCAAAATGTATTATTCGATTTCAAATTATTCGAATTCAAATTGTGTTATTCGAATAAAAGAAACATATATTGAGTGTAGCACAATAGAATTTCTGTTTGAATTATGACCCTAATAACTCTTCATAAGTTTGAACCATAATACATCTAGCGGAGTGTGGACGAATTAGAATATGCATATCAAATTATTCAACTGTTCAATCACCATTTGAATACGCAAAAAGTTGACAATTCCGGCTATAGACTAAATTTTGATCTCGGCAAGAAGAACAAAATCCATCTCCACAGCTAGAAAGAGCGTGTTAAAATTAGTAAAATTGCAAAGTTTGGTTGCGAAATGTTGTAAAATGCGGAAAATATAGCCCTGCCAAATTTGCAAGTTTTGTATTAATTTGTATTACGCGCGGGAAAATGCACCACATTTTGGCCGAAAGTGTGTATTTTCCCGCGCGTAATACAAATTAATACAAAATTTGCAAATTTTGCAAGGCTATATTTTCCGTATTTACAACATTTCGCAACCAAACTTTGCAATTTTACTCGTATAATTTTCCATAAAATTTTCCATAAAATTTTCCATGTGAAATTCACAACCTCTCCTTCACACGTTTAAAAAACATTTCAACCCCTCCCAAAGGAGATCGTTTTAACAAATGTAAACATAAAATAAAAACAAAATAAACGTTGAGTTTTAACATTGCAATTTCAACTTGAAACAAAAAGTTTTCTATTGACCTTGTACTTAAAAAATAAGATAAAAAATAAGACCAACCTTTATTATTTTGGCGCACTAGATTTTTATAAATTATTTAATATAGGGGTTGAGACTAAAGTTGTTTATTTTACAGTTTGGCATGTGATAACACAATATATTCATTATCTACAGTGTATCAATTATTTCGATTTGTTAAGTTTGTTCAATGTATGAATTAATTATTTTGTTTTTAATTATGTATCAAAACTGCTTTGAGACTATTTTTCTAGTAACCCTTCCTTCTTCAAGTCAAGAATCAACATAACCCCTTCTTCAGCATCTTTCAAAATTTGGTAACCCCTCCTCAAAATCATCCATCCCCTACCGCCCCATAAATAATTACCACTTCCTTACTGAAATACCCCTATTTCCCCCAGAATAACAACACTACAAATTCTATACATTTTATTCCCTTTATTGACAAATTTAAATCTACAAAAACTAATACAAAAATGATCTGCTATACGAGGTATGTAAGTATTTGCGCATGGTGTGGTCCAGTCTCCAGTACGATTAATAGCCTAAAATTCAAGAATAAGAGATGTGTCAGACATTTATTCATCCAATCTTGAATATTCGCTATGTGTGAAATGCGCCTTAAAAACAAGGCTGAACTGTGCCTTTAATAAAATGGAGAAAATTCTCCCCAATCCCCGTTGGTTTGATAGCTCAATAGAGGTAGAACTAAAATTAACCTAAAATAAATTAAAATTAACCTAAAAATTAACCTAAAATAAATTAAAATTAACCTAAAATAAATTAAACTAACATTAAACTAAAATAAACTCCTGAGTTCAAATGCCGCCAAAAGTCAACTTTTAAAGAAATCCTGTTGGAACTTTTCTCTTGTTTCTCTGAGAATAATTCAGTGTCGATGACATTCTGCGTAATCAACATTAGATAAAACAACAACTGAAGTAAAAATGTGACGGTATCTCTCTCCTACCTCGACTTCAGCAATGTCGACAAGATTTTGGACAATTTTCCTTCATGTACATCGCAAACCTTCCACGACAATAACCGCTGGATCGCCAAGACGAACAATTTGTATTCTTGTCAGCACACGATGATCCTGAAAATATCAAAAGGATTCGACCAATTACAACTTCTGTTGAAGAATCTTCAGGAATGGAAAAGAAGACCTGACCTGGAGCAGTTGCGAAATAAATACTAGCTAGAAGCTTCTTGGAGCAACGAAACGTAAGCTTGGATAATTCAGAGAAATCAGTGAACCGTTAAGATCACGGAGAAAGTTAGCTTGGTTGAAATACTAAATGTTCCTCTCTTTTGATGTGCCTCCGAACTGAGGGCCTAGAGCTAGCGACAGAGTAAAAATCCAGTTCATGTCTTTAAGTTTTGCTTTTGAGCGCGGCATAATGCTTTCATCTATGACATAAAATATACCAAATCTCTGGCTTTAAAATGCATGAAATAGCGTTTCGCAGCCCCTAAAATAGACATATTTTTCGGGGAACCTTGCCCCCCAGACGGCCGAACCACATAGTTGTTCTGTGCATTTGACGATAGGATCCCCCCCCTCCCACTTGTTTGGGTCTGGCTACGCCCCTGCCTGTGTCTAGAGTAGACAGACAGGACGAGTCTCTAATATAAGAGAAAGAGTGAAAAAATAATAAATACCTCCACCACTTATACGACCTATATTACGACCTGTATTGCTACGTGTATTGCGACTTGTATTACGACCTGAAAATAAGAAATAATGATGTTAGCTAGCCTTTGAAGGCAGACCTGACTGCTTGAGTAATATTAATGCTATATGTTAGGGTGAGACGGTTCTTATCAAAAAAACAAAAAATCGGCTGAAAAAACCAAGTGAGTCGTTTTTATTGTGGCACATTGTAAAATACACTTGAAAATATGCACACGATGCTACTCAGAATTCTCTTTCGTTTAGTCCACTTAATACCCTGGTTCCAGAGGCTCTTTGCGAGGCGAAAGAAACGCGAGGCGTGAAGGAAGAGCCGCTGGTCACATCGGTTGCAAATCACACTTGATTAGGTTCAGAACTTGAATCTCTCATGTGATTGGCCATTTGTAAAAAATATGTCAAACCGCGGTGATTCGCAACCGATGTGACCAGAGGCTCTTTCTTCTCGCCTCTCGTTTGTTTCGCCTCGCTAAGCGCCTCTGGAACCAAGGTATCTACTATGTTATGGCACTACCACACATGAGATTTCTTTGTGAAACTGCAACGCAAAGCCAAACCAATAAAGAACTTAACATGCCAGTGTCACGATGTACACGTTTTATTTGATTGTGTGGAAATATATAAAATGGCTTTTTTGTGCTAAGCGAACATCGGTTAAATTGTTTTTTAACAGCCATCGTGTTTTTTTGTTTATAGATTAACAGCCTCACCCCACTATATGTTAGGAACACTAAACAGATTCATGTTGGGTGAAGAGTGCTCAAATTTTCTTGCTATCTCGGAATAAACTCGCACATTTTTCGTATATTTTGTCACATCTCGCGTATCGAGACTTCTCCTAAAACCTTATTCCTGTCATTTCGTTAGGAAAAATAACCGTTATCCTATTCCAACTAGGCTCAGTAAAACTACCTTCCAAAATACTTACATACCATATAAGGACTGCGCACCACTGATATCATCACTATGCAGTTTGAGGTTCGGGTCATATCCATTATAACTAGGCCACATGATAGATCCTCTGACATTTGAGTGGTGTAAGCCAATCGCATGTCCAATTTCGTGTACAGCCACGGCCAGCAGATCAATTCCAGGTTGTCCGTTTACGTTATCTCCATTGACGCTATAATCTTCATCTTACAAACCTGGAAAGCCAGAATACATATACAGTAAGTTTAAGGTTGGGCACGATATCAAGGCGGCAGATTGTGAGTTTGTAAGTCACTTCCAATATTAATATTTCTGAATTTAAAAAAATTAACCATCATTCTCGCAACATGAATTGACTTTAAAAAATTATAAATGGTCCCCGCCCCAAAACAGGAGTTAAAGCATGTCATTCTCCTCACACACGTCAGTTGTAATTTTTAGTGATGTTCCCCATGGTTTATTTACTCTTCATGGATCGTGGGGTATATAATCTGACTCGTCCCAATTAATACATACATATACTGGATACGAGTCTGAGGTATAATGTCATTTATCGTATGTACACGATAATACAAATAAATTTCGACTTACCTGATTGTAAAATCACTCCTTCCGCTTGTTACTTCCCGAAATCTAAGGGGTGTCACTGCACTCCAGTATGCAAACGCCTTTGTGAAAGTCGCTTTCATTACAGAGCTGCTCACATCCTCCGAATCTCGTAGAAAGCGATACGTTAAACTTGTCTTGCTCCATTTGGAACCAGTTGTAAATGCTTGCGGGCCGCTTCTTCCAGTGTCATCGACCTCGTCAGGATTACCACAACGAGGCTTCAGCATTTCGGTTTGTGTTTCCGCGTCCAGTTGTCCAGTCATCTTAAGATGAAAGTACTTTTGGAAACGTCTTATAGCTTTGTTGAAATCTCCACTACCGGACCTGCCCGGGTCAGCGTATCCAAATTTCGCCATATAGTCCTATAGAATGAAATAGTATTTTACATTATTGTATACAGCTATTTCAATTAAGGTTGTCCCCCGAGCAAAGCGGAAAAGTCGAATACAAGCGCGAAAGGCTGCTGGGAATCGCTAATAAATGAATGAATTTATTAGCGATTCCCAGCAGCCTTTCGCGCTCGTATTCGACTTTTCCGCTTTGCTCGGGGGACAACCTTAATTGAAATAGCTGTATATACATATAAAAATATCACATATAACATTTGCCAGAATAATAGATGGCAACAGCTGTTGCACGCAATTATATAATAACCTAGGCCCCCAATAATATACACTTAATGTCTGCTCCCGAGGGAAATAGTTAGTTTTGTTTTCCCGAGAATCTCAATGTTTCCCGAGACGAAGTCGAGGGAAACATTAAGATTCGAGGGAAAACAAAACTAACTATTTCCCGAGGGAACAGGCATTAAGTGTTTTGTTATATAGCGACGAACAAAAATCAACTTCAACAACATTCATACAACAATTGTATTTCGTGACAAAAACTCTATGGTGTAAACGAGTTTAAAATTAAAAGAACCTACTTAAACGGTTTCAGCAGCATATCCTGTTGCCTGTTGTGTATTTTTCTTCTCTTTTATATTCTTTATTTGAACACAAACTTGGAAAATCGTAGTTTCTAATTATCTGAGTTGTGCCTCCATTTTGTTTATTTATGTACGTGGCCGGTCGGGGCGGGCAACAATTTTTCACTTGTTGCCCGGCGGGAAACATTGCATTTATCTGAAGTCACGTGACCACAAATCAGCCAATCACGTTTGGTGTTCACGCTAGCTATATAACAATTATCACTTATTTACTGAGACCGAGGGAAACAGTATGCAGAGGGCAACAACCGCGGTCGGGGGCCACAAAACACACTGCTTTTCCGAGGTCTCAGTAAATAATAAGTCTCACCGGTTATTATAGTGAACTTAATTTGAAACCAAAACTGGATAAATGGAACACCGTAATTAAATATATCCCTGATTCCCCTGACACCTATCACAGAAAGCCTGCAAATACACTATAGAAATAGATGTTTTTCTTAGCGATTTAAAGCTGCAATTTTATTCCTGATATAAACTTTTTTAAGAAATTTTCTCGACGATTTACTAACTTATCATTATTAAATGCATCATTTTATTTAGTTGCAATACAATTCACTGATATTATAAAACAACCAGGGCAAAAACAACCATACCTCACCTCACCTGATAATACTTTAAACGAAAAAAAGGTTGAAGTTACGCTACACTATATATAGATTTTAGACGAACATCAGAGGGAATATTACAAGAAATTGAAATTTAATATATCCATACCATTGCTCCGTTTTTTTCCGATTTTCCATTGGCTGTTAAGACACAAAGATATGTAAGACACACCGTTGCAGCAAATTGCAGGAACATCTTTGTATTCTGTAAACTAAAGTATTGAGTATCTTCTATTTTCTGTCTTACCAAGACTTTGGTTTGAGTAACTGTAATACTTCACGGCGCTTTATATGCCACCACCTGGCACCCTGTCCACAGCCCACGCAAAGATCATTGTGCCAAATAAGGTAAATGGGCGGCTGCGAAGTAGCCGATAAGGCGATAACCTTACGTACAAGGAAATAAGGAACTCTTAGTTTCGATTGTCCACATCCTATTTTTTGAATTTGAGTACTGTTTATTTTGGGAATATTGGAAGACTTTTGCACTACAATACAGTGTGCAATATTTCAACATACCGTAGGTCACCGGACAAAATAGTGAGATATAGCGCACTGTTTTTCAAAAATCGGCATTTCCAATGAAGTCAGCAATTGACATACCTAACTAGCGAGCCCAAAAACATGATAATATGTGGAGTTCCACAGGGGTCTATCCTTGGCCCACTACTATTTTTACTATACAGGGTGTCTCAAAAAAAACGCTATGGAAATTCAACAAGCTGTCGTGCATCATAAACGTGGCTAAACAACTTAATTTTTACATAGGACGAAAGAACAGTTATTTAGCTTTTCAATGATACTCTTTTTAAATCGTAACGATGAGAAATGGCCACATACTCGTCAAATAAAAATTGCCGGTCGAAATCACATTCTTCCACCGTTGGGAATTGCATGGAAAACGAAACATAAACGATTCCCAAGAGGGAATTGAATGTTAAATTATCTAAAATAAGCTCAACTCGTCAATCTTAGTTAGTGAGACCAGAAGAACGTCCATTATTGCATTAAACATGGTTCAATTAACCCCTGAACAGAGAACATTCGTAATCAAAACGTTTTACGAAACAAGTACCTTGCAGCTGACTCACGGTGCTTTTGGATTGATTAACTTTGCATAATTAATGTATTTTCAATTTCCAACGGTGGAAGAATGTGATTTCGACCGAAAATTTTTATTTGACGAGTATGAGGCCATTTCTCATCGTTACGGTTTAATTAAGAAATATATCATAGCAAAGCTAAATAACAGCTCTTTCGTCCTATGTAGAAATTGAATTGTTTAGTTAAGTTTGTGATGCACACCAGCCTGTTGAATTTCCATAGCGTTTTTTTAGACACCCTGTATATAAATTATATGCCTGATTCGTTAAGTCTCTCAACTTCTTCACTCCATGCTGATGACACGGAAATTTATGCATCTTCTAACGACTGCGCTGACCTTGTCGACAAGGTATAGATATTGATCTTGAAAATATACGCAAATGGATGATACAAAACAAACTTCAAATCTTACCCCAGTAAATCAGAACATATGTTCATTGGATCTTCCTATAACCTTAAGAATAAAGTATGTATAGCAATCCTATTTTAATTAATAATAAGCCATGCAGTGCCCAGGACTAATACATATTCATGCCTTGGCGTGAATATGGACGAAAGGTTGTCTTGGGATAAACATATTGATTCTATCTGTGCTTGGTGCCGGTATTGGTGCAATGAGACTGGTTAAACCTTTTGTACCACTGTCGACAACCAAAATGCTATATAATGCTATTGTACAGTCTTACTTCGATTATTACATCCCGTTATGGGATAATTGCGGAATTGGCCTCAAAGATAGGTTGCAAAAATACCAAAATCGTGTTTCAAGAGTAATTACTGGTGCAACTTACGATATATATATTCGGTCATCTGAGTTACTCGAGAATCTAAATTGGAAACCTCTCGAAGAAAGACGAAA